TCTCAACTGCCTACCAGCTTTCTCTCGCTAGATTTGAAGGCACTAAAATTAGTGTGTACTAGTACGGCACCAACCCTGAAAGGGTTAATGCCACTTAGACCAGCTTAAGTCACTGGCCTTCTATCGCACAAAAAAATCTGTCCAGAGAGGTCTGTTTCTGGCGTCTCTTTAAGATTTCCCTGAAGTGGGACAAGGTTTTGTCACTGAACATGTTGCAGATATGGCTTGTTTCAGCTTGATCAGGGTGATATTTTTCCACAAAACCTTGCACCCTACTCCACATTGTGCAAATCTCCTTAATCTCTGAAGAAGGTGCCGCCTTCCCTCCCTCTTCCACATCCTCGCCTCTAACCTCCAACCCCATGGACTTCCCATATGACACAATACAGTGGACCCCCGCATACCGTTGGCATCACATAACGTTAAATCCGCATACTGATACATTTTATCACTAAAATTTTGCCTTGCATACCGCTAAAAAACCCGCTCAACACTATTCGTCCGAGACGCGTCTAATGTGCAGCCTGAGCCAGCCTCACATGTTCCGCCGGTAGCATCGTCTGCTGCTGCTGTAGCACTGTCAGCTGCTGCTGCTGCTGCTGCTGCTGCCGCTGCTGCTGTAGCACCGTTGTTGGTGTGGCTTATTGAGAATACCAAGAAACAATTAACCCCAGAGGGTTAGCCACCCAGGATAACCCAAAAAAGTCAGTGTCATCGAAGACTGTAACTTATTTCCATTGGGGTCCTTAATCTTGTCTCCCAGGATGCAGCCCACACCAGTCGACTAACACCCAGGTGAACAGGGAAAAACACCTGGAACTAGTGCTCATATTGGTGAATTTAAAGCCAGCAAAGGTTGGTTTGAGAGATTTAAGAATTGTAGTGGCATACACAGTGTGATAAGGCTGTTCTGGAAGAAAATGCCAAACAGGACCTACAGTACTCAGGAGGAAAAGGCACTCCCAGGACACAGTGTCTCATCAGTCATTGCTGCATCTTCAATAAAGGTTAGTGTCATTTATTCTTCATTTAGTAGAGTAGTACATGCACAATATATACTGTGCATGTACTACTCTACTATTGTGCATGTATCCTTCTCTTTGTGTGTAGGAAAATGTATATTTCATGTGGTAAAATTTTTTTTTTCATACTTTTGGGTGTCTTGCACGGATTAATTTGATTTCCATTATTTCTTATGGGGAAAATTCATTCGCATAACGATAATTTCGCATAACAATGAGCTCTCATGAACTGATTAATATCGTTATGCGGGGGTCCACTGTATATTCTACAACAGGCAGAGGGCTCTCAGGGTCAGCCTCAAACTCTTCAAAATCCCTCTCTTGGACACAATCTCGCCACAATTTTCTCCAAGCAGAGTTCAAAGTCCTGGAAGTCACTCCCTGCTAAGCCTTGCCTATAAGGCTTATGCAATGCAGTATATTGAAGCGATTCCTCCAGAACTCTCTTAGGGTCAAGTCAGTGTCTGAGGTCATTTGAAAGCACCTTTGAAACACTGGTGTAGTTTTTTTGAAGTTAGAAATGACCTGCTGGTCCATTGGCTGGATGAGAGGAGTGGTGTTAGAAGGCAAGAACTTCACTGTTATAAAATGCAAGTCCCTAAACAATTGGTCTTCCAGGTCTGGAGGATGAGCAGGAGCATTGTCCAGTACCAGGAGGCACTTGAGTGGCAATTTATTTTCCTGTTTTTTTTTTTTTTCACATGGGCCAAACACATCATTGACCCACTCTTTGAAAATGTGCCTTGTGACCCACACACAATCTATTCTTGACAACATTGTTTTTCTTGAACACGCTGGGATTTTCAGAGTGATACACAAGTAAAGGCTTCACTTTGAAATCCCCACTAGCATTACCACAGAACAAAATAGTAAGCCTGTCTTTCGTAGGCTTGTGTCCTGGCAGTGTCTTTTTCTCCTGCGTGATGTAGGTCCTCTTTGGCATTTACTTCCAAAAGAAGCCTGTTTCATCACAATTGAACATTTGTTAGGGGAGGAATCCTTGAGCCTATATGTACCCCTTGAATTCTTGCACAGATTTCTCAGCTAGACATTTGTCAGAACTTGCAGCCTCCCTATACCTTGCCACACTGTATGCCACTACGCTTTTTAACCCTTTCAGGGTCCAAGGCCCAAATCTGGAGTCACGCACCAGTGTCCAAGAATTTTCAAAAAAAAAATTTGTTATTTTTTCTTATGAAATCGTAGAGAATCTTTTTCTGAAGGTAATAAAACAAAAAGTACGAAATTTGGTGGAAAATTGACGAAATTATGCTCTCGCGAATTTTGATGTGTCAGCGATATTTACGAATCGGCGATTTTGCCGACTTTGACTCCCATTTTAGGCCAATTACATTATTCCAATCAACCAAATTCTTAGCTATTTCACTAGTATTACTTCTATTCTATCGATTGAGCACAAGAAATCGCCAAGTCAACTGTTTCAACTACAAAATAGTGATCGGAAATTGTTAATTTGGCCAATTTAACACAAAGTTCAAAATATTCCAATTTCAAAATAGGGTCCAGAATGAACAATGTAGGCATTCCTGGCACTAAACTAACATTTCCTCTGTTCATTAGTTATGTTTTGAGGCTTTACAAATAAATTCCATTTTGATTTTTTATTCACATAATGAATTTTTATTCACACCAAAAAATAGAAGATTTACTGTTATGCAATACTGTAATAATTGTATAAATATCATCACCATATTTGTGAATGTATATTAGACCCACCAGCTGGTGTGTATTAGACGTGTGAGGTTGTTTGTTTACTCTTGAATATCGGCAAAAATTTAACATTTCTGCTACTTTGAGCTCAGTTTCAAGCCATTTCCAGTGCTAAAACCAATCAAAATCATCTCTATTTCTGTAATATGTCTTCCATTCTATCAAATGAGACCAAGAAATCGCAAATACAACTATAAAAAACATACGAAAAAACACTGCAAAGTTGCTGTTTTAATCGAAAAATCATGATTTCATTTTTTTTCTCTCATTGTACACAGTGTGCTGCAGGATCTGTTTTATGTGGTGCACACATACCACATAGATGTATTCTCTCATATCTAGGCCCAAATGTACCACTCACAGTTTATCAGAGTGAGCTGAGCTCATGGCGTAGATCTACGGTTTGGACCCTGAACGTAAAGCCGTAGATCTACGGGACGGACCCTGAAAGGGTCAAATCTCTCAAACTAGTCTTTGCTGGCCTTAAATTCACTAATAGCAGCACTTGTTCCAGGCATTTTCTTTACAAGATCCACATGCAACTGCCTTGCCTTCTCACAAATAATCTACTCCACAACAGTATCTCACGCTAATTGTTTTTCGGTGATCCACAACAACAATAGCTTCTTCATATCTTCCATTATCGGTGACTTTTGATAACACATTTACTCCTTTCACGAAATTAACTTCCTTGATTTCTACTTTCTTTGCCAGGATAGAAGTGATTGTTGATTTGTTTTGCCTATACATCCTGGCAAATTCTAGTACTCGAACACCACTCTCGTACTTTTCAACACCTTCTTTCTTAAATTCCATCGTGTTTCTCGCTTTATTTACCAAAGGAACTTTACTAGGAACTTTCTTTGGGGTCATGGTTAGGTTTTTTGCAGTTGCACTTAATCGATAATCACGAAAAGCAATGAATTACGTATATCGAAATGTTTGGATGAATGAGCAGAAACTTCCTCACTTGCCCAGAGACAAAGCCAGACTGATGTGCGAGTGGCTGGTGGTGTCAGGTTGACGTGTCTCATACAGCTGATAACTGAAATAACGGCGATGACCGAATTGGCCGATAAGTAGAACGGCCAATAACCAAGAGTCCACTGTACCTAAATGGGTATGTATCTAATTATATATCTAATAATATGTTCAAATGTACTGCTCAATTATAACTTATATCATTACAGTAAGAATTAATATTAGTCTGCCCGAAGTGCCTAGGTATGATAGTATATTAGTCTGCCCGAAGTGCCTAGGTATGATAGTGTCTTTTGTAATTAAAATTTTATAACGTGTAAATCACACATTGTAAGCTTGACTAGGAAATAAATATTTGAATTTGAATTACAGAAAATGTTACGCGCTATGCACCTGAAGGGCAAATACAAACATAAAACTGAATGTTTTAATTTTGGGTGGCGACACTCTTGAAGTGTCAGTAAGGGGTGATTCCTAGATTAGTGATGAATTCGTTTACCGACATGGTCTTAGGAACGGAACTCTGTCAGTAGTGGGGAGAGGCTGTAATGAGTGTACTATGTATGTATTTTACTTTTTATTGTTTTTAATGCCTAGTTCTATTGCTAACTTAATATGTGCTAGTGTAAACTTATCTGTTATTTATATGCATTTATAAGTGGAAAAAATGGCGTTCTGCTTTCCGGCAATGTCCGCTTTCTGGCGGTAGCCTAGAACCTAACCTGGCGGTAGCCTAGAACCTAACCTGGCGGTAGCCTAGAACCTAACTATATACAAAAACAGCCATCTATTGCTGGTTTTGTATATAGTACATTAATACAAGACCAGCAATAGATGGCTGTGAATCGCTGAAGGTTTATGAAGTGAACAAAATGTAATAGGCACTTGAATTGTCAATCAAATTTTAAATCCTGTGAAGAAGTGCCGTGAGAGTTATAACTTAGGTGGCTGGCTATGGTACTACATAACTTCATGCTGTTGCTGAAAAAAAATGAATGGTAGTTTTCCAACATTTGGTACATAAAAATATCTTGCCAGGACAGTTCAAGCAGGATGGTTTGGCTTTTATTCCCTGCAGATTTCTTGTGGCTTTAGAATACAAACCATAGGTGAGATGACGTGTATTAAAAACAGACCAGTTTAAAAAGTTATCATGGTTGGTCTGTGAACTTCAGATATGGTGCATTAGATTGTCTACCATGCCAGTTAAATTTCAAAGCTCTTTTTGCTGGTTTTAAAATTAATGCAATACCACTTTTTTTACAGGGTTGGGAGGATGGAAGCTAAAAGGTGAACAGTTTGAAGCTATAGCAACTGTAATCTTGAGAGTCCCTGGCTATTTCATTCTCGATTACTGGTATCAAAATGATGTCCGCAACTGTATTCCTCGGTCCTTGGCATGGGCAGATGTCGTATCATCAGGCTTTGCAATATTCGGTGAGTTTTGTTCATGTATCTTGTATATTTCTTTTTTAGTGGGGTTAACCCTTTCACTGTCGAGACCCTTGCTCACAAACTTGCTCTTGGTGTTGAATTTAAAAAAAAAAAAAATTTCTTATGAAATGATAGAGAATCTTTTCCTGGTGGTAATGAAACCAAAAGTATGAAATTTGGTGTAAAACTTGTGGAATTATGCTCTCGCAAAGTTAGAGGTCTTGGCGATATAAACGCATTGGCCATTTCGCCCACTTTTCGACCAATTCCATTGCTCCAGTCAACCAAACTCGTAGCCATTTTGCTAGAACTCCGTTTGTACTATCGATTGAGTACAAGAAACTGCCCATTTACTGACTTCAACTACCTAGTAAAGTGGTCAGAAATTGGTAATTTGGCCAATTTCACACAAATTTCACAAGATGCCACTTTCAAAATAGGGTCTAGAATAAACAATGAAGACATTCCTGGCACTAAAATAACATTTTCTGTGTTCATCTCCAGGCCCTTCTTGTATTACTCTTGCTTTCAATTTTGAATTTTTATTCATAAAAACAGAAGATTTACTGTTATGCAGACTACTGCATTATTGTAATAATTGTATGAATAATGTCAACCCATCCGTGACTGCGTATTAGACTGGCCAGTTGGACACGTATTGGATGGTGATGTCATTTGTTTACTCTTGAACATTGGCAAAAATTGAACATATTCACTAATTTGAGCTCAATTTCAAGGTACTTTTCATCATGAAACCAATCAAAATCATCTCTATTTATGTAATATATCTTCCATTCCATCAAATGAGACAAAGAAAATGAGAATACAACCATAAATACCATATGAAAATACACCACAAAGTCGGTGTTTTACACTAAAAGCACGGTCGGATTTTTTTTTCTCAATCACTGCATGCTGCAGGATTTTTTTATACTTTGCACACTGACCATGCAGACCCATTCTCTCGCATGTAGGTTTACCGACTTTCTCCCGCTAGATTTGAAGCCGCTAGAACTTTGGCATAATAATTTAAACTGTCCAAACGTAGATCTTCGTTAGTGCTGCTAACACTCCAAATGTAAATCAATGTTTTATTTTTCCTGCCTCCAAATTTGGCACAATGGGCCTGAGATGCTTGGTCAGTATAGAATGGGTTTTAACACTCGGTGTGTGCAGTATTAAAAAAATATGGGACCACTTAGTACCTTGTGGGAGTACCACTTCAGTTGAGTGCCAGTTAGAGCAAATAGCATGGCAAACACCAGGGATTCACTGATGTCATGTCGTATTAACACTCCACTTTTAAGAAGAAAGTGATGTTGACCCCAAGTTTAGTGGCTTTGAGATGGATGTGGCCACAAGTGGTTGAGGAAATATCACAAAACACTCGATAATAACCCATGTACAACATTTGTGCAACATCCTTACATTTTTCATACCACTGGTAGTTTCATCCTTCCAGAATGTCCTATGCCCTAAGTAAAGAGAAATGATTCTAGAACGTGTAATGCATATTTGGCTGGCCAGCTGGCTGACTGACTTTGGTTGTCTCTGTCTGTATCTGTCTCTGTCTCTCACAGGAACACACAAATACAGTTATTATACATAGTGTAAATTACCTACGATAACCCAAAAATTCCAGGCAGTGCTATACATTGCTTGTAGATATAAGGCATAATAAGCATGACTGGCAAGTAATATGCATTTTCACTTGATCAGGAATCAGACATGACGACTTTGTGTGTAATACCTGTTGGTTTATGAGCCGCTCTCTGAGACAGAGACAAGCAGACGGAAAGACAGAGACAGACATACAAACATACACGCAGACACACGTGTGCGTGCGCGCGCACACACACACACACACACACACACACACACACACACACACACACACACCACACACACACACACACACACACACACACACACACACACACAGAAAGACATAAGCAGAGCTAGATAGACAGACAAACATACATGTTTGTGTAACAGTGAAAACAAATAAAGCCGGGGTTCCCTGGAGCAGTGCACATTCAAATGTCACTCCACTGCTGCAGTGTCAGGAGTTTAGTGACACTTGTCTTTACACCATGCTTCAAGGAGTTCATGTATACTCCAGCATGTCTAAAACAATGCCGAGGCCTATAAGTACTTTGTATATACAGTGGACCCCCGCATAACGATCACCTCTCAATGCGACCAATTATGTAAGTGTATTTATGTAAGTGCGTTTGTACGTGTATGTTTGGGGGTCTGAAATGGACTAATCTACTTCTCAATATTTCTTATGGGAACAAATTCGGTCAGTACTGGCACCTGATCATACTTATGGAATGAAAAAATATCGTTAACCGGGGGTCCACTGTATTTCTAGACAATAGTAAATGACCAAGGCAGGTGAAAATGTTCACCTGTCGGAGTGTTTGTGACAATTTGAGAACTGTTTCAGTACCTAATATTAGTGTCAGAACAGAGATTGGCTATGAAATCACAAGAACTGCTATAAATTGTAATTATCAGAACATATTTTTTTTTTTTCAACAAACCAGCCATATCCCACCAAGGCAGGGTGGCCCAAAAAGAAAAAGGAAAGTTTCTCTTTTTAAATTTAGTAATTTATACGAGAGAAGGGGTTACTAGCTCCTTGCTCCTGGCATTTTAGTCGCCTCTTACAACACGCATGGCTTACGGAGGAAGAATTCTGTTCCACTTCCCCATGGAGAACATAAAAATTATATAAATTAAAATAAAAGTGGCAGGACTCGATGCTGCCATCAGGTGAGCATTCAGAGCTAACTTTGTGGGCTTACACGTATCTCGGTAAGTACTGATCCTAATTTTTTTTTGTCTTATAACATGTAGAATAATGCCCTCTTCATTTAAAACAAAAATAATTTTTTGTTTTTTTTCTCAAAATATTCGGAGCGCTGGGTGAGTAAACGTAGATGTAAGTTTGGACAGTTTAAGGGTTAAATTTGATGTATTGCCTTCATGTCACCATATTATCTTGCTTGATAGCAAAATCAGATACATTTTGTCTTATATTTTAACTTAATTTCTTTGCAACAATAAAAATGCAGGAGGTCCCTGCATTTGCAGGTCACCAGGCAGGGTAGGATTATCTTCCTCAATTTAAGACCAACTTCAAGGAGGGATATACACCAGGTCAAGTCTAATGTTGGAAGGACTGTCCTCTTATTCCTCTTGGATCATGCCAAATCTGCTTCTGACGACAGATTGATTCTGTTCTTTGCAAATGTCTCGGGCAACAGAGGGAACTGTAAGATGAAGACTGTGCTTCTTGATTGCTCTCTTAACCAACTTACTGTTGTTCCAGACAGTATGCTGCGATTTGTTTCTTTAACCCTTTGACTGTCACAACCCCAAATCCTGAGGTGTCTCCTGGTGTCGAAAATTTAAAAAAAAAAAAAAAATTCTTATAGAGAATCTTTTCCCGATGGTAATGACACCAAAAGTACGAGATTTGATGGAAAACTTATGGAATTACGCTCTCACGAAGTTAGCGACCTCGGCGATATTTACAAATTGGTGATTTCGCCCAATTTGAGCCCTATTTTCGGCTAATTCCATTGTTCCAGTCGACCAAACTCATAGCTATTTCTTTAGAACTCCATTTGTTCTATCGAGTGAGCACAAGAAACTGCCTATTTACCGATTTCAACTACCCAATAATGTGGTCAGAAATTTGCAATTTAGCCAATTTCACGAAAATAAAAAAATGTGATTTCAAAATAGGTTCCAGAATTACCAATACAGACTTTCCTGGCTCTAAAATAAAATAAAATTTTCTCTGTTCATCAGTCATGTGTCCAGGCCCCTCTGATATTACTCTTGCTTTCTGTTTTGAATTTTTATTCAAACAAAAAATAGAAGATTTACTGTTATGCAGACTACTGCAAGATTGTAATAATTGTATAAATAATGTCATCCCATTCATGACTGCATATTAGAATGGCTACTTGGACATTTATTGGAAAAAGACCTCATTTGTTTACTTTTGAACATCGGCAAAAATCAAACATTTCCCCTACTTTGAGCTCCATTTCAAGGTTCTTTTCATAGTAAAACCAATCAAAATCACCATTATTTCTATAATATTTTTCCATTCTATCAAATGAGACCAAGAAAACGAGAATACAACCATAAATACTGTAGACCGCCTGTACTGTCTGCACAGACAGCCTATGCTGTCTGCTAGCTTAGTTCATATTTCACGGCACTCAGGTGCTGCCCTCTCTAGGCCTGCCCAGGTCAGTGGGATGCTGGTCCCACTCGTTCTCACTCACTCAGCGGCCTAGACTCAGACGACAGGTCCTACTCCTCTCTCCCTCGCTGGGCATGGCCCTCTCTGACCATGTGCACTTAACACACTGCCTGTGTACCCCACGACATTGCAAATAAAGTAAGAACCCTCCGCAGCCCTATAATTGACTCGATGCCAATGCATCACACCAATAAATTCGTTCACATTGGTGGGAAGCGGTGGTCACAGCAAGTGTGTTTGCCCGGAGAGAGGAAGGAAGAAGGAATGAAGTTGGTGTTCACTTCATCACCCCACACAACAAGCATCCGTCTCTCAACGAGTTATCCTTATGTCGTGTCTGCACGTCTCAGCAACCAGACACAGTACAAGCAGGATCTAGCCAAAATTTGCCGAATTTCTTCAAGAATTGTGACCCACGCTACAGCGTCCCATGCTGTTTCTCAAGTCACGTGTTCAGTGTCACTTGTATGTTCTGCCATTGTTGTTCAGCTCAGCACAGCTATTTAAGCAAGCCAGAGGTGAGTTTTGTGGCAATTTCATCGTCCAGTGTGAGTGTGTCCCTGTGTTGTGGGTGGGAGAGTGGAAGTGGCCGTTTCCTCGCCTCGCTCATGCTCGCCCTACTCTCACTCACCCGTCTACCACCACTCACCCTACTCGCTCCTTCTGCTGTGTTTTCTGCTGTTTTCCGTGTGAATTCATTGCCATAGCTGTGTAT